GAAAAGAAAAGAAAATGCATCTCTTTAATGAGATAGAGGAGACTTTTGTTTTTATCCATTTGTTTATGAATTCATGGATGAATGTTACTTAGTACCAGGATGAGTTAAGGTTCACCATCAATACTATCTCAGTTTTTTTTGTTTGTTTTTAGAAAAATAAGTACCACAAAACCATGTTTTTATAAATTAAAGAATAGAATGGAAAAGAATGGAAAAAGTTTTGTTATAACAGAGTCACTCAATTCTTTGAGCATTTTGTGAGTCACATGTTAAAATCACAGAATGCTATAATCATTTGATGATTTTCAGCTGTCAATGCGCGTAGCAGTGCTGAAAGCAAAAAACTGAAAACCTGATTTTCAAGAGGACTTGTTATCCACCTGTTGGAGGAATCACTGTCACTTTCTTTATCAATGCCAGTACTAACATTTTAATTTGCCCCTTTTTGGTGCCCCAGAGGTGTCCTAAGGCAGTGATATTGTAGGTATGTCTTTATTTTTTCTAAAAGCAGGAAAAGAACTGTGAAAAAAGGGGGAAATAGAAAAGGATGATCTGTAGCTCCCTTACATGCAAATTCTTGTGCTGATCAATTTTTTAAAATAGCACTTAATGGATGTTGAGGATCTAGAAATCGATCCTCTTAGCCCTGGCCAAGTGCCCCTTAGACATCTTGGAAGGTACCCCAGATCTACTTAGCTTCAGTTTGAAAGCCACTGCATTAGCTGGTAAGTTTACATAAGCTAGATGGATAAGGGGTACATTACCCAACTTAATCTCTTGTACGGTCCCTTCATTGGAGTGTCTTTTCTGCATAGGTCCATTCTGTAAAGTCTCGGTGTATGAAAAGATCTTACTTTATCCCGGATGGGTCCTCACCATCCTCCCTGCTATTTTTCTCCATTCTGACAGACCTTCTGACAACTTGTGTGGACCTTTTAGGGCCTCTGTAATTTCACTTCCAAATTTTTTGTATGTATTGTTTTCATAGTTCAGTAATACTGACTACAGATCTCTGTTTGTTTCTTTCTAGTTTTGTATCCAGAGATTTATCAACTTTGTGGTCAAACTAGGTAAGTGCCTTTGTCTGCCGCTGGCAAATGTAAAGGAAACAGAATAGCATCCCTTTCTCTGAGGGTTCAACTAGAACACCTTTTCATGATCTGTTGCAGGCAGTGTTCTGTTTCCAGTATTAACCTCCAGGGCCAAACATACAAAATGGTGAAGTAAACCTAGTTGGAAGATCTTTGGCAGCCTTCAGTAAAATAAATCTCTCTCCTCCATGTTAGCACACACCCCCCATATTCTGTTCCTTCTCTCCTACACAGTCAGCACCCCTGCCTGCTTTCACTTGCCTCTGCTCATTAAAATTCTAACAAGTCACATGTCTGATTTCAGCCTAAGTGCTTTGGAGAAGGCAGTCTAAATACAGATCTTACTAAATTGTGAATGACTGACAGCTCTCCCAAGAGTATTTACAATATGAAAAGAGTTTATTAATGAAAGTAAGCTCAAATGAATGGGGGTTTGGATAACATGACAAAGTAAAACTGGGGGGAGGGGATACAGTGAATTTGAGTAGAGGAACCTCTCCAGAGCCTCTTAAATCTTATTCTATGACAAATGGCAGATAGCCACCATTCACTCTTCTTATGCAAAAGATTGGTCCTTGGACCAATTAAACCTGGGTCAGTGCAGCAAAAGTTTTAGGTTAATTCTTGGCAGACCTCCCACCTTCCTGTTAGAGCCCTTCTGCCTCCCCTTGGCAACCCTCCCCCTCCCCAAGCACCTATTCCCTGTTAAGCCTCCCATTCTCACAGGGCTCTCAACTAGCTCTCTTAACCCTTCAAAGACAACATTTAACCTACTTTTTATTTTCATGATTTTTGTCATATTTGTTTGCCACCAGTGCTATGAACTACCTATTATTATTCTCTTGTCCTAAACATTACTTTTCACAAAATGGTGGGTTTGGTGTGACAATTATAGGTTCCTAAAGTACATTAAAATAGATATTGGACTATTAAAATTTTTAAAGAACTAAAAGTTTGCCTGTGTACAGTAGTCGCGCCCCCCCCCCC